ACGCTACGACAGAAAACAGCACAGGTAACGGTACGACAAAAAACAATACAGGTAACGCTACGACAGAAAACAGCACAGGTAACGGTACGACAAAAAACAAAACAGGTAACGCTACGACAAAAAAACAACAATACAGGTAACGCTACGACAGAAAACAGCACAGGTAACGGTACGACAAAAAACAATACAGGTAACGCTACGACAGAAAACAGCACAGGTAACGGTACGACAAAAAACAATACAGGTAACGCTACGACAAAAAAACAACAATACAGGTAACGCTACGACAGAAAACAACACAGGTAACGGTACGACAGAAAACAACACAGGTAACGCTACGACAAAAACCGCACAGGTAACGCTACGACAGAAAACAACTCAGGTAACGCTGAGACAAAAAGCAACACAGGTAACGCTACGACAGAAAACAAAACAGGTAACGGTACGACAGAAAACAGCACAGGTAACGGTACGACAAAAAACAAAACAGGTAACGCTACGAAAAAAAAACAACAATACAGGTAACGCTACGAAAGAAAACAACACAGGTAACGGTACGACAAAAACCGCATAAGTAACGCTACGACATATAACAACACAGGTTATGCTACGACAGAAAACAATACAGGTAACGGTACGACAGAAAACAACACAGGTAACGCTACGACAAAAAAACAACAATACAGGTAACGCTACGACAGAAAACAACACGGGTAACGCTACGACAGAAAACAACACAGGCAACGGTACGACAAAAAATAATACAGGTAACGCTACGACAGAAAACAACACCGGGAACGCTGAGACAAAAAGCAACACAGGTAACGCTACGACAAAAACCGCAGAGGTAACGCTCCGACAGAAAACAACACAGGTAACGCTGAGACAAAAAGCAAAACAGGGAACGCTACGACAGAAAACAACACAGGTAACGCTGAGACAGAAAGCAACACAGGTAACGCTACGACAGAAAACAAAACAGGTAACGGTACGACAGAAAACAGCACAGGTAACGGTACGACAAAAAACAAAACAGGTAACGCTACGAAAAAAAAACAACAATACAGGTAACGCTACGAAAGAAAACAACACAGGTAACGGTACGACAAAACATAATACAGGTACCGCTACGACAGAAAACAACACAGGTAACGCTGAGACAAAAAGCAACTCAGGTAACGCTACGACAGAAAACAACACAGGTAACGCTACGCCAAAAAAAACAATACAGGTAACGCTACGACAAAAAAACAACAATACAGGTAACGCTACGAAAGAAAACAACACAGGTAACGGTACGACAAAACATAATACAGGTACCGCTACGACAGAAAACAACACAGGTAACGCTACGACAAAAAACAACTCAGGTAACGCTACGACAAAAAACGCACAGGTAACGCTACGACAGAAAACAACACAGGTAACGCTGAGACAAAAAGCAACACAGGTAACGCTACGACAGAAAACAACACAGGTAACGCTACGACAGAAAACAACACAGGTAACGCTACGACAGAAAACAATACAGGTAACGCTACGACATAAAACAACACAGGTAATGCTACGACAGAAAACAACACAGGTAACGGTACGACAGAAAACAATACAGGTAACGCTACGACAGAAAAAAAATACAGGTAACGATACGACAGAAAACAACACAGGTAACGCTACGACTGAAAACAATACAGGGAACTGGACGACAGAAAACAACACAGGTAACGCTACGACAAAAACAATACAGATAACGCTACGACCATAAACATTACAGGTAACGCTACGACAAAAAAATATACAAGTGACGCTACGACAGAAAACAATACAGGTAACGCTACGACAACAAACATTACAAGTAACGCTACGACAAAAACATTACAAGTAACGCTACGACAAAAAACAATACAGGTAACGCTACGACAAAAAACAACACAGGTAACGGTACGACAGAAAACAATACAGGGAACGCTACGACAACAAACATTACAGGTAACGCTACGACAATAAAAATACAAGTAAAGCTACGACAAAAAACAATACAGGTAACGGTACGACAGAAAACAGCACAGGTAACGGTACGACAAAAAACAATACAGGCAACGCTACGACAAAAAACAACACAGGTAACGCTACGACAAAAAACAATACAGATAACGCTACGACAGAAAACAACACATGCAACGCTACGACAGAAAACAACACAGGTGACGGTACGACAGAAATCAATACAGGTAACGGTTCGACAGAAAACAATACAGGTAACGCTACGACAAAAAACAATACAGGTAACGCTACGATAGAAAACAACACAGGTAACGCTACGACAAAAACCGCATAGGTAACGCTACGACAGAAAACACCACAGGTAATGGTACGACAGAAAACAACACAAGTAATGGTACGACAGAAAACAATACAGGTAACGATACGACAGAAACCAACACAAGTAACGGTACGACAGAAAACAACACAGGTAACACTACGACAGAAAACAACACAGGTAACGCTACGACTGAAAGAAAACAATACAGGTAACGCTACGACATAAAACAACACAGGGTAACGCTACGACAGAAAACAACACAGGTAACACTACGACAGAAAACAACACAGGTAACGCTACGACTGAAAACAATACAGGTAACGGTACGACAGAAAACAATACAGGGAACGCTACGACAGAAAAAAAATACAGGTAACGATACGAAAGAAAACAACACAGGTAACGCTACGACTGAAAACAATACAGGTAACTGTACCAAAAACAAACAATACAGGTAACGCTACGACAGAAAACAGCACAGGTAATGCTACGACAAAAAACAATACAGATAACGCTACGACAGAAAACAACACATGCAACGCTACGACAGAAAACAACACAGGTGACGGTACGACAGAAATCAATACAGGTAACGGTACGACAGAAACCAATACAGGTAACGCTACGACAGAAAACAACACATGCAACGCTACGACAGAAAACAACACAGGTAATGGTACGACAGAAAACAGCACAAGTAACGGTACGACAGAAAACAATACAGGGAACGCTACGACAACAAACATTACAGGTAACGCTACGACAAAAAAAATACAAGTAACGCTACGACAAAAAACAATACAGGTAACGCTACGACAAACAACAACACAGGTAACGGTACGACAAAAAACAACACAGGTAACGCTACGACAAAAACCGCATAGGTAACGCTACGACAGAAAACACCACAGGTAATGGTACGACAGAAAACAACACAAGAAACGGTACGACAGAAAACAACACAGGTAACACTACGACAGAAAACAACACAGGTAACGCTACGACATAAAACAACACAGGGTAACGCTACGACAGAAAACAACACAGGTAACGATACGACAGAAAACAACACAGGAAACGCTACGACTGAAAACAATACAGGTAACTGTACCAAAAACAAACAATACAGGTAACGCTACGACAGAAAACAACACATGCAACGCTACGACAGAAAACAACCCAGGTAACGGTACGACAGAAATCAATACAGGTAACGGTTCGACAGAAAACAATACAGGTAACGCTACGACAGAAAAAAATACAGGTAACGATACTACAGAAAACAACACAGGTAACGCTACGACTGAAAGAAAACAATACAGGTAACGCTACGACAGAAAACAACACATGCAACGCTACGACAGAAAACAACACAGGTGACGGTACGACAGAAATCAATACAGGTAACGGTTCGACAGAAAACAATACAGGTAACGCTACGACAAAAAACATTACAGGTAACGCTACGACAATAAAAATACAAGTAACGCTATAACGGTACGACAGAAAACAATACAGGTAACGATACGACAGAAAACAACACAAGTAACGGTGGTACGACAAAAAACAATACAGGTAACGCTACGATAGAAAACAACACAGGTAACGCTACGACAAAAACCGCATAGGTAACGCTACGACAGAAAACACCACAGGTAATGGTACGACAGAAAACAACACAAGTAATGGTACGACAGAAAACAATACAGGTAACGATACGAGAGAAAACAACACAAGTAACGCTACGACAGAAAACAAGACAGGTAACGCTACGACAGAAAAAAAATACAGGTAACGATACGAAAGAAAACAACACAGGTAACGCTACGACTGAAAACAATACAGGGAACTGGACGACAGAAAACAACACAGGTAACGCTACGACTGAAAGAAAACAATACAGGTAACGCTACGACATAAAACAACACAGGTAACGCTACGACAGAAAACAATACAGGTAACGCTACGACAACAAACATTACAGGTAACGCTACGACAATAAAAATACAAGTAACGCTACGACAAAAAACAATACAGGTAACGGTACGACAGAAAACAGCACAGGTAACGGTACGACAAAAAACAATACAGGTAACGCTACGACAGAAAACAACACAGGTAACGCTACGACAAAAACCGCATAGGTAAAGCTACGATAGAAAACAACACAGGTAATGGTACGACAGAAAACAACACAAGTAACGGTACGACAGAAAACAATACAGGTAACGCTACGACAAAAAACAATACAGATAACGCTACGACAAAAAACAACACAGGTAACGCTACGACAAAAAACAATACAGATAACGCTATGACAGAAAACAACACATGTAACGCTACGTCAGAAAACAACACAGGTAACGCTACGACAAAAAACAGCACATGTAACGCTACGACAAAAAACAATACAGGTAACGGTACGACAAAAAACATTACAGGTAACGCTACGACAAAAAAAAATACAAGTAACGAACGATACGACAGACAACAATACAGGTTACACTATGACACAATGCATCAACGAAGATGACACAACCATTGATAATATGAGTGTAACACTAATAAAGCAAATACGTGACATATATGTGTTTTAAAAGCAAGCAACCGTTGAAGAACTCATACAGTATTTTTGTTATATGTTTTTGATGTTGCTGCCTGATTTTATGGATGACAGAGGATCTGTTATGTTCCCTGACCTGTATATCTAACACCACTGGTGAGGTGGCCACCTTCAAGGACATTCCGATGGATAACGGCACACCCTGCAAATACGACCCACCTTACGGGATCTGTATGGATGGAAAATGTGTGGTAGGTCACAATGTGAGAGTGAAATGTCACAAAGTGTGTGGTAAACTATAAAGTGTGTGTGATACGTCACAAAGTGTGCATGATAGGTCATAAAGTGTGAATGAAAGGTGTTCCTGACACGTTGCAAAGTATGTGTGGTAGGTCACAAAATGCGTGTAATATGTTCCAAAGTGTGTGCGAGTCCAATCACAGCAGACCGGTATATAATAAAAAATAAAATAGCATTTGTCCTTTTATATCGATTTGCCAAAATATTGATAAAAAAATTAGGAACTACTTGAATTTACTCTTGTGGATTTTACTGATTTGACTTCGTCCTTATCCCAACCAAGAGTTAATGATTTAGAAACCAGATTCAACTTATGACTACTATTTAAAGTAGCGAATTGTTTTGCGCCACAAAGAAGATATGTGGTAAAAATGTCCGGCAAACTGCTGTTTACCTTCTCGAACGATTTTTCTGAAACTTGTTACATATCATCAGTACTTTAGGCTGTTATTAATGCGCTTTCAGTTTAAGTTTGATATTGATGATTCTATTAAGAGTTTCGTCTTTTTTAGCTCACCTGGTCCGAATGACCAAGTTGAGCTTATGCCGTACTGTGGCGTCCGTCGTCCGTCCGTCGTCCGTACGTCAACAATTTCTTAAAACGACTTCTTCTTCTTAACCACTGATTGGAATTTTACTGTAAGCATCCCTAGGTGGTGGGGATTCAAAATTATACAAATGGTGGGGCTAACCCCTAGGGGCTGATGGGTGGGGCCAAAAGTGGTCAATTTTGGAATATTGCTATAAACGACTTCTTCTGTAGAACTATGCGATAGATATTTATCATATTTGTCTGGAAGCATCACTAGGTAGTGGGGATTCGAAATTGTACAATTGGTGGGGGCTGAAGGGCGGACCGAAAAGGGTTATTTGGCTATATTGCTTTAAGCGACTTCTTTTCTGGAACTAAGAGATTGACATTAACCATATTTGACTGGAAGCATACCTAGGTAGTGGGGATTCAAAATTGATACAAATGGTGGGGCTGACCCCCAGGGGACTGAGGAGTGGGGCCAAAAGGGGGCTATATGGCTATATTGCTATAAACAATTTCTTCTGTAGAACTTTGCACTGGATATAAATCATATTTGGTCGGAGGCTTTTATGGGAGGTGGGGATTCAAAATTGTACAATCTAATATAATACAGATATGCTACAAGGTTTGGCCCTAGTGCCATTCCTTTGGATCTTATTAGGATAATATTATGCCATGATTGCTTAGATATCCAGGTAAGCGATACAGGCCCTCTGTGCCTCTTGTTCTTATGCCTGTGTATGCATTTGGTCTGACGAAACGCTGTCTAATTTCTGAACCATAATTCATGAAACCGAAGGCAGTTGTGCTTCTATAATCTATTTTTTATTTTGACCATATTGTTGAGACTTTGGTCCCTTTTTTTAATATCCGTTTGTTGTATTTTGTTACCGGTTCTATTTCCATTGCTGTTATACCCTTAATGTTTCAATGTTAGCCTATGATTAACATGTGTAGTTTTCCAAGCTGTATTCATGAGTCACTGTGATGAGACCTATTAGGTCGAAACAGCTATATGGTACAGTGTAATTCATATTTGGTTTACTGTATCTATTTCCAAACTTTATAGGTGCAATTTGTCTTATGTTCATCTTTTCAAGATACAGGTTGGTAGACTATAGGCTCCGCTGCTCGATTTGTTAGTCCCCGTGGTTTCCCGTAACATGGATGGCCTCAATTTCGAGTAGTGACAGGGATAATAGCACACCCACTTTACTCAATATAAATTTGGAATTGACAAGCACTCCTTTTTAACTTTGAAATTTAATTAATTCAGTGGTTTCCTTAACCTCCCTTTTTGTTTCAAAGGTAGTTGTGATCAATTTGGAATTCTGCCTTCTTTGCCTCTTGTACCATAATAAGTCCTAGAAGGACCAAAAAAGCTGTAGGAAGCAGTGCTATTTATTTTTGGTATAACGTATCAAAACCAAAGTTTTTAGGTGCAATCATATGTGTTTGTCTGACGTAAAAATTAAACGTCTAGTTTTCCATGCTGTTCTATTCATGAATCATAGTAGTTTTTTGGAATCGTCCATTTGTAAAGACGCCTCTACCGCTAGACTTATCAAGTTGATGGTAAAGGATTATATATCAATCACATACCATCCATATAGGGTTCTCTGTCGGATGTGATTTATGGCGAACAGGTACGTCTGCTATTGATTCCAGCTCCGTGTTAGAGTGTTGCTAAACTTTGCAGTGAGTGCACAAAATAAGGACAATTGCATATACGGTTCCAAGCGGAATCTAATGTAATTACATTAAGTAAAAATATTGAGATACTGCCACATGTCATCTGATATCTATCTATATTTATATTTTGATGTCATTTCCTATATGATCTGAACGTGAAATGCAAAAAGTTCATAATAATTTGATACAAAATTGTTAGCAACAGAAAGTAATCAATCATTCATATTCATATAACATATTCTGGGAAATAATAAAATTAGCGTTTTATGTATCAATTTAATACAACAGTTTTAATAGAGATATCATTCTTGGTTTGCCAGGCAGTCGGATGTGATGGCGTCATAAACTCTACTGTGTCTGAGGATGCCTGTGGTGTGTGTGGCGGCAATGGTTCTGAATGTAAAACGGTCAAAGGTCATTTCCGCCGGAAGTTGGCCTACGCAGGACGTACGTATCTGCACATTTACTTGTAGTTTATCAGAAAGAATTGTATGGGAAGTTAATTTATTAGTCTGTTTTTTTATTATAAATATATAAAAAAAATCAGCAGCAATTCCGTATGTCTGCTGGAACCGTTTCCCTGTATTGACTCCAGTTGATTGCAATGATTATTAGATTTTCTGTGTGCACATTTCACTTGTATAAAACATCTCAAAGTTTTAGACTTGAGGAAATCTCAAGAGTTGAGATGTTTTATACAAGTGGGGCCTGTAACTTAAGGTTGTGACATTGTTTCCTTCGATCTTATTTGTTGTTATTTTTTTATGCAGCGTTAATAAGTAACATTTTCAATTTCAATTAATCCTTTTTCTGTAACATAACGCAAACGATTTCATCCTGTGACGTCAATAAATTATTGTTTTTCTATGATATTAATCAGTATAAATGTTCCATGTTACGTCAGCTAGTTACATATTTCTGTGATGTTCGGAATATCCTTGTATGCTGTGACGTACTTTAGTAACATTGTTTCCTATGGCGTTAATAAGTAACATTGTTTAGTTACGTATTTTCCTGTTATATTTATGTAGCAACGCTGTTTCTCCTGATGTTAATACGATGCATTGTTTCCTGTGATGATAATTTGTAACGTTGTTACTTGTTAGTTTAATAAGTTAATATGTCAAACAGTTTTCTAAAATAAAAATAAAATATTGATTATATTTGTGGATAATATCTTACCAGCGATAAAAGTGAAGTACTCCAGCAAACCTTCAATATCAGTGTTTCGTTTGGGTAACAGATTTTGCTCCATCGTGTTTGGAACCTAGTATAATATTAATGCAAGAATGTCAATCCAAAATATTGTTCTCTGCTCAAAACAATTGTTTACATAACTACATGTATTTTAATGATAGAATCAGCAATACCAAGATTCAGACCGATGTCACTGAATTTTAAAACACTTTGTTGAATGACTTCCAGGAAATGACGTGTACGAGCAGGTTCTTGTCCTCCCGAAGGGATCTCGCGGGATTAACGTGACCGAATCGAAGCGGTCAGCGCATTTTCTCGGTAAGATTTGATAACATCACCAATGAAACTCTTAAATGTTTTGCTTAATAATGATTCTGGATTGACAATGCAAATTTATAAACATCAGTATTGATTGATATGAATATACGAGAAAAGAAAGATAAATTTGATAAAATGATTATAGTATTTATCGTTTGATAATCAAACCAGTTTTGTCTTTCAGAGGCTTCCATAAAAACACAATATCAACATTGCTATATATCAATGGGTTAGCAACTTTAGATGTAATTCACAAACTTCCGGTTTTATTCCCTTTTCTCTCTTTTTTTTTTAATTTACCTTACATATAGGTAAATTTTCAAGCTCAGCTAAATTTTAATCCTGCGTCAGCTCTGCAATGAATATACATTGAATAATAATAATAATAATAATAATAAAAAACAGCAAAAAAGAAAAAAATATTGAATTCATCCTAAACCACGAACATTTTTACATACGTTATAAAAATCGTAATAAGCGGAATCATTGTACACACGTTCTAGAAATCTAGAAATGGTGAATTTTCTAGATGCGGAATTTTCTTTACCAATCAGTAGTCTCCAAATTCATTATTGCAGCTATAGCTATGCAGATGTGTCTTCTGTTAGATTTTTTTCTGCCAATCAAATTTCTGGAACTTTTTACTGCTGTTATAGCTATATAGTTCAATCATGTAATTACTATTGCCCCACAGGGCTATCCAAATCAACGACAATCTGTTAAAATCCATCCCATGATCCCATGTTAACGGCTTGTTTAATATGGATCGTTATATTTGCACAGCCCTGAAGGATCCGTATTACGGATCGTACCGGTTGAATGGATTTGGAAAGCCAGGAACATCCAAAAAGTTTGTCGCTAATGGCGCATGGTTCATATATAAGAATAATTGGAACATGGAAACGTTGGAAACTATGGGCCCACTGCGGAGCGAACTTAAATTGATGGTGAGTTCATACTTACTGCTTTAAGGGTCACTGTCCTGCTTCAGCCAAAATATTAGATAACTCTATTGTTGTTTGTTTCATACATTTACACACAGTAACCACCCCTTAATTGGTTTTTTGGATGTATATGTACAGTGAGACTGGACAGGGACTACCAAAATGAAGTAGATTAGTTGGTTTGAGTGACCATATACAGATCGGAGATCTATAGGGCACATATCCCGGTCTGGTCCGATTAACAGAACACTGTTGTTGAGCATCATGTCATGTTCTATTCTTTTTCATTATTTTGGATATTTTTTGTGTGTATCATTTTAAATATTCATATGTGTGGTTTCCTAAAGGGGTCTAACATTAAATAACAACTTTCGCTGTATGAATATCATCCGGGCCGACCAGAATGATTAAGAGGAGTTGTTTCACACTTTGTGTAAAAAAAAAAAAAAGTTTTATCAATATGTGAATATATATCCGGATTGACAGGTTCATCCACAAAATGCAAACGAGGAAGCTAACTATGATTATTCCTATACGGTAACGAAAGACGATTTCACTTATGAAAAGAACATCGTGGAATGGAAATATGAGGGCTGGACTGATTGCAGTGTAACTTGCGGTACAGGTAATTGATTCGTTTATTTATGTATATATTTAAAAATCAAGTCCAGTAATTAAATCAATTTTGAATTGTCGGCACAGATGTGTACATTGAAAACGGTACCGATGTGCTTTGTTATATATCCTTGTATGGAAAAGAAAAAATTGTGAGAGTATATACACACTGAATACACATGGAAGGGCGTTTATTGTTGCATCATACATTTGCAGTTTTACGCTGAACAGAGAATGGTGATGCTTTGAAGTTGTTGTATATCGAGTACATATGAGGATTGTGGTTTTTTTTTGCAGGTGTACAGAGTTTAGTGTACGGATGTTACATTCTAGAGAATGGAACCAAGGTTGACAATGAAATGTGCAAATATTTAGAGGATAAAGAAAATGAGCCGATAAAATGCGAAAGGCTGCAATGCAGTGCGTTCACGTGAGTTTGATACCATAAACCATTGTGTTGTGAAATACCAAATATTGTTGCAGTATCGATACATGTTAAATTCGACCTTAAATGTTATGGCGCCCCTATTGCCTTGCAATATACTGTACAACCAACTTACGAGTAACGTTACATGTATGAATTAAACGCAGATAGTGTCATATAAATTCCAAGTTCTGGAATAAATGGGAAAGGGCACAAATGCTGGTTCTGAAAGAAGGAATTAGATTTAGTGAGTGCCGATATGCAATTGTTAATTCAGTATTCATGCTTTTTAATCTGATATTATCTTTATGTTTGTTGAATGATAGAGCAAGGGGATTTATCGACTGTTCTGTGACGAATTTATTGGTTCAGTGTTAGGTAATACTTGACCATGTCAGAAGATTGGAGTGACTGTTATGTGAATTATTGTCTTGTTCAATGAGGGTCTGCCTGTCCCCCCAGGGGGCTTAGTTAGGGGCTAAAAAGGGGAGGGGGGAATAGGGAAAAAATCTTCTTCTCCAGTTCTAGAAATGCTAGAATCAAATACTACTCATAACTGTAAAGGCCTTTGGGTGGTTTATAAATTTTTTGATTTTCATGTCTCTCAGGGCCCCCGTGTGCCCCGAGGAGGGAGTGAAATTTATATATGAAATAGACATAATAGGCCATATCTTCCAATGTTTTGAACGGAATTTGCTAATATTTAACAGAAATACTTGTTAGGAAAGGAAGGTCTGCTGGTATAATTTTTGTGACCCTGACCAACTAGGGGACTGAGATTAGGGTGAAAAAGGAGGCGAATTTCAAAAATCTTCTTCTGCAGTTCCAGAAATGCTAGTATCAAATACTACTCATAGTTGTAAAGGCCTTCGAGTGGTTTATATACTTTGTGATTTTCATGTGCCCCATGTCACTCGTTTGCCTTAGAGAAGGGGGTAAAGTTTGGTATTGTTTATATAGACAATTCGACAAATGAACAGCCATCACATACTTTTTATCTCCAACCCAACTAATGTGCTAGTAATAGTAACAACCTTAATTCTTTATGAATTATAAAGTCTCCATAGTAACGCTTCCAAGTTCTTACCCAACATGTCTGAAGTGGTTACAGAGCAAATGTAAATATTGTGCAATGATTGGTTAAATAACCAGGTGAGCGATACAGGCCCCCTTGGCCTCTTGTTCAGTTTTGGGTGGTGCTAGAAAATGTCTGTGGACTAGTGTGACTGTTCTGTAACCTTTTGTCTTGTTCTGTTTTAGGCAGTGCTAGACAATGTCTGAGGAGTAGAGTGACTGTTCTGTGACTTATGGTCGTGTTCAGTTTTAGGTAGTGCTATACAATGTCTGTGGAGTAGAGTGACTGTTTTGTGACTTATTGTCTTGTTCTGTTTTAGGTAGTGCTAGACAATGTCTGTGGAGGAGAGTGACTGTTCTGTGACTTATGGTCGTGTTCTGTTTTAGGTAGTGCTAGACAATGTCTGTGGAGTAGAGTGATTGTTCTGTGACTTATGGTCGTGTTCTGTTTTAGGTAGTGCTAGACAATGTCTGAGGAGTAGAGTGAATGTTCTGTGACTTACGGTCTTGGCCAGTTTTAGGTAGTGCTATACAATGTCTGTGGAGTAGAGTAACTGTTCTGTGACTTATTGTCTTGGCCAGTTTTAGGTAGTGCTAGACAATGTCTGTGGAGGAGAGTGACTGTTCTGTGACTTACTGTCTTGTTCAGTTTTAGGTATTGCTATACAATGTCTGGGGAGTAGAGTGAATGTTCTGTGACTTATTGTCTTGTTCTGTTCTAGGTAGTGCTAGACACTGTCTGTGGAGTAGAGTGACTGTTCTGTGACTTATTGTCTTGTTCTGTTTTAGGTAGTGCTAGACAATGTCTGTGGAGTAAAGTGACTGTTTTGTGACTTACTGTCTTGGCCAGTTTTAGGTAGTGCTATACAATGTCTGTGGAGTAGAGTAACTGTTCTGTGACTTATTGTCTTGTTCTGTTTTAGGTAGTGCTAGACAATGTCTGTGGAGTAAAGTGACTGTTCTGTGACTTACTGTCTTGGCCAGTTTTAGGTAGTGCTAGACAATGTCTGTGGAGGAGAGTGACTGGTCTGTGACTTATTGTCTTGTTCTGTTTTAGGTAGTGCTAGACAATGTCTGTGGAGGAGAGTGACTGTTCTGTGACATATTGTCTTGTTCTGTTTTAGGTAGTGCTAGACAATGTCTGTGGAGGAGAGTGACTGTTCTGTGATTCATTGTCTTGTTCAGTTTTAGGTAGTGCTAGCCGATGTCTGTGGAGTAGAGTGACTGTTTTGTGATTTATTGTCTTGTTTTGTTTTAGGTAGTGCTAGACAATGTCTGTGGAGGAGAGTGACTGTTCTGTGATTCATGGTCTTGTTCAGTTTTAGGTAGTGCTAGACATTGTCTGTTGTGTAGAGTGATTGTTCTGTTACTTATTGTCTTGTTTAGTTTTAGGTAGTGCTAGAAAATGTCTGTTGTGTAGAGTGATTGTTCTGTTACTTATTGTCTTGTTCAGTTTTAGGTAGTGCTAGACATTGTCTGTTGTGATTGTCTCGTTCTGTTTTAGGTAGTGCTAGACGATGTCTGTGGAGTAGAGTGACTGTTTTGTGATTTATTGACTTGTTCTGTTTTAGGTAGTGCTAGACAATGTCTGTGGAGGAGAGGGACTGTTCTGTGACATATTGTCTTGTTCTGTTTGAGGTAGTGCTAGACAATGTCTGTGGAGGAGAGGGACTGTTCTGTGATTCATTGTCTTGTTCTGTTTTAGGTAGTGCTAGCCGAAGTCTGTGGAGTAGAGTGACTGTTTTGTGATTTGTTGTCTTGTTCTGTTTTAGGTAGTGCTTGACAATGTCTGTGGAGGAGAGTGACTGTTCTGTGATTCATTGTCTTGTTCAGTTTTAGGGAGTGCTAGCCGATGTCTGTGGAGTAGAGGGACTGTTTTGTGATTTATTGTCTTGTTTTGTTTTAGGTTGTGCTAGACAATGTCTGTGGAGTAGAGTGGCTGTTCTGTGACGTATTGTCTTGTTCAGTTTTAGGTATTGCTAGACAATGTCTGTGGAGTAGAGTGATAGTTCTGTTACTTATTGTATTGTTCAGTTTTAGGTAGTGCTAGACAATATCTGTGGAGGAGAGTGACTGTTATGTGACTTACTGTTTCGTTCTGTTTTAGGTAGTGCTAGACAATGTCTGTGGAGTAAAGTGACTGTTCTGTGACTTACTGTCTTGTATAGTTTTAGGGAGTGCTAGACAATGTCTGTGGAGTAGACTAGACAATATCTGTGGAGGAGAGTGACTGTTCTGTGATTCATTGTCTTGTTCAGTTTTAGGGAGTGCTAGACAATGTCTGTGGAGTAGACTAGACAATATCTGTGGAGGAGAGTGACTGTTATGTGACTTACTGTTTCGTTCTGTTTTAGGTAGTGCTAGACAATGTATGTGGAGTAGAGTGACTGTTCTGTGACCTAATGTCTTGTTCAGTTTTAGGTAGTGCTAAACAATGTCTGGGGTGTAGAGTGACTGTTCTGTGACTTATTGTCTCGTTCTGTTTTAGGTAGGGCTAGACAATGTCTGTGGAGGAGAGTGACTGTTCTGTGATTCATGGTCTTGTTCAGTTTTAGGTAGTGCTAGACATTGTCTGTTGTGATTGTCTCGTTCTGTTTTAGGTAGTGCTAGACAATGTCTGTGGAGGAGAGGGACTGTTCTGTGATTCATTGTCTTGTTCTGTTTTAGGTAGTGCTAGGCAATGTCTGTGGAGTAGAGTGACTGTTATGTGATTTATTGTCTCGTTCTGTTTTAGGTAGTGCTAGACGATGTCTGTGGAGTAGAGTGACTGTTCTGTGACGTATTGTCTTGTTCAGTTTTAGGTATTGCTAGACAATGTCTGGGGAGTAGAGTGACTGCTCTGTGACTTATGGTCGTGTTCTGTTTTAGGTTGTGCTAGACAATGTGTGTGGAGTAGAGTGACTGTTCTGTGACTTATTGTCTCGTTCTGTGACTTACGGTCTTGGCCAGTTTTAGGTAGTGCTATACAATGTCTGTGTTTAGTGACTGTTCTGTGATTTACTGTCTTGTTCAGTTTTAGGTAGTGCTAAACAATGTCTGGGGGGTAGAGTTACTGTTCTGTGACTTATGGTCGTGTTCAGTTTTAGGTAGTGCTATGCAATGTCTGTTGAGTAGAGTGACTGTTATGTGACTTATTGTCTCAGTGACTGTTTTGTGATTTGTTGTCTTGTTCTGTTTTAGGTAGTGCTTGACAATGTCTGTGGAGGAGAGTGACTGTTCTGTGACATATTGTCTTGTTCTGTTTGAGGTAGTGCTAGACAATGTCTGTGGAGGAGAGGGACTGTTCTGTGATTCATTGTCTTGTTCCGTTTTAGGTAGTGCTAGCCGATGTCTGTGGAGTAGAGGGACTGTTTTGTGATTTATTGTCTTGTTTTGTTTTAGGTAGTGCTAGACAATGTCTGTGGAGGAGAGGGACTGTTCTGTGACATATTGTCTTGTTCTGTTTGAGGTAGTGCTAGACAATGTCTGTGGAGAAGGGTGACTGTTCTGTGACCTATTGTCTTGTTCAGTTTTAGGTAGTGCTAGACATTGTCTGTTGTGATTGTCTCGTTCTGTTTTAGGTAGTGCTAGACAATGTATGTGGAGTAGAGTGACTGTTCTGTGACCTAATGTCTTGTTCAGTTTTAGGTAGTGCTAGACAATATCTGTGGAGGAGAGTGACTGTTCTGTGATTCATTGTCTTGTTCAGTTTTAGGGAGTGCTAGACAATGTCTGTGGAGGAGAGTGACTGTTCTGTGACATATTGTCTTGTTCTGTTTGAGGTAGTGCTAGACAATGTCTGTGGAGTAGAGTGATTGTTCTGTGACTTATTGTCTTGCCCAGTTTTAGGTAGTGCTAGACAATGTCTGGGGAGTAGGGTGACTGTTCTGTGACTTATGGTCGTGTTCAGTTTTAGGTAGTGCTAGACAATGTCTAGGGAGTAGAGTGACTGT